TATAACTATTTTACCAACACATATCTTTTTTAACGACTCTGAAAGCAGAAGCCTTAGACAATGGATGCTTGTGTTTATGTGGGATTTAAAGATGATCAAGAAGGAGTGTGGCAGATGGTCAAAGGGTTGACATTCCAGGGTGCAAATAAGAACATAATGACATATTGGATCATACATTCGTGATTTGGCAGAAAAAGCAAGGGAGGCCAGGAGGATGTTTACAAACTTAAATGAACAGGCAGAATCAGGAGGCTGAAAATTGATATTAGGGCGATTCTAGGGTCAAAGAAGGGGAAGTCAGGAAGCAGGAGAGAAGCAATAAACATTTAGTAGAGAGCTTGAGGAGGTAATGCTGTTGAAGTGTTAGAGGATATGTAAGTTCATTTTCCTTTTAATGTCTTAATACATGTCAACATAATAAGGAAACTGTAACAAAAGACAAGTTCCTGCTGAGTGTAGTTCAAATCATTATTTATCAAGTACCTATTATGTGAGAGGAGCTGTACAGGCGGGCAAAAGAGCATTGTTTCATGCATGGTCTCTGATGATAGTTAAATTATGAGTATATTTCATTGCTGCTGGAAGACCAGAAAAAAAAAAAAAAAAAGGAAACAATATGAAGTCATGCATATTTATCTGTCTGGTGAAATTAAGTTTCTAGTTCCTAGCTTTCTCTTCAGACATTTAAAAAAAATTTTTTTAAGTTTAGTTCAATTAGAGATCCACATCTGGGGATCTTAAATACATCTGCTGTTCTGATGGATTTAAAAATATTATTTTAATGTCTGCTGGCTGTGCTTGAGAGAAAGCCTATCTTTATACCTGTATTATCAAACAAAGAATCCTATGAAATGGTGGGGAGTGTATGGATGTCTAATAATTTAAGTTTTGAAGAACACATAGTTTTAATACCAAGATATAAGGCAATTTTGGACTTTAATATAAGATCTGCTTTTGCCCCAGGGAGTATTTAAAAAGCATCCCTTATTTTAATTTAAATTCTATTACAGTTTATATAAGTAGCACAGAGATTAGAATCTTTCAAGGTCTTTCAAAATATTGAACAAAAAAATAATAGGACACATACTATTAGCTCAAGAAAATTATGTCTGAATTCCAGAAGCAGTATGCAACTTGCATTATACTATCCTAGTCTGTAGCCTTCTGTCCCTATAGAAGCTTAGAGGTTGCAAGTGTACCTATGAATTCACAAAACATTTTATTGTGAATATTTTATTGTGAATCATCAGCCAGTTATGAAATCCCTGTAGTTCTTGTAGCTCCAAAGTGATTTTTTTTCTTACTATGGTTGCTTTTCCAGTCATCACAATGTTTTCTTAAAGTGTCTACATGAAGTCAGATATTGCATATCTGTATAGCAGTCTCCTTACATCCTCTCCTATGGACCATAGCTGTTTACAAAAAGGAAATAGAATATATACATATATATATATATATATATATAATTTATAGTTTTATTATATATTATTATATATTATATATAGTTATATATAGTTTCATTATATTATTTATAATATTATATATTATTTATAGAATAAAGAAATAGAATATATATACACATATGTGTGTGTGTGTGTATATATATATATATATATATATATAAAGAATGCTTTGACATCTGTGTTGAAAGAATAAAACACATTCAAGGCTATTTCCAAATTACACTGAAGATACACTTGCTGGGAATATCAGGAATATATTCCAGAAGACATTAATAACTAAGAGAATCTCCCGATTTTTCTGGCCATTTTCTGAGACCCTTTGGTCACCACCTAAATCCATATGCAACATGTAGAATTTTCACACTATTGCTTCAAAGACTCTTTGTATGACAGATTTTTCTAAAATTTTTGCCATCCCAAAGTCCTCTCAATACACCCCCTTTGGGTTAAAATAGAACTTTTAAGGTGGTAAACCCAAAAGTATGCACAGTGTTTCAGTGCAGTCTTCTCACTAAAGAGATTCATAGATAGTCCATATTTTACTGAATGATTCCAGTACTGTTTAGTTTATCTGAACTTCCTATAGCCTATTCCTGCATTCAGAGATACATATTACAAAATAATTGCTGTTACTCATCTAATATGCATCTTTATTCACATTGTTTTAGTTGAAGTTCTTTGTGCTAGCTGTCCAATATCTTCTTGAATCCTAACCAAATATATATTCTTGGCTTCCAAGAGTCCTATGAGCTTGTGTCTTCATTCAAACTATTGAGAATCAGAATTAAGGACCAACCTTGGGTACACATTGTTAGAGACTGTCCTTTATTTAGCATTGATAATCAGTACTTTTCATGTTCCATCCTGGTATGGTTGATCTTTATTGAGCTCATATATTTTTATCCACTTGGAAATGAAGATTTTCTATATTGCTTGGTTTATTTTTTTTAATTATACGTCAAGTTTGGGATTTGTTGTTGCTCTTGAAACCTAATTTTGCAGTTTCAATGAAACAAATTTTATTCTCTGTATAAAAATACATTGTGTGTGTGTGTGTGTGTGTGTGTGTGTGTGTGTGTGTGTATGCATACATATCTTCTTATCTCTTTCATTTTAGGTCAAAGTTTTCTTGTTCAAGTTCAGTGAGCCTTCAGCCAAGTACATTTTTTGCAGTTCCAGTTAGGTACACAATATCCCATTTGAAGAGCTCATTATTCTGCTCTGCTAAATCTTTCTAGGTAGGAAGCTCTTTGCTTCCTGAATCCTCTTTTCTTTTCAAAAGTCAAACCTACAGCTGGAAAAAAAGAAAGAATAGTTTTACGTCTCTGTGTCTGAGAGCTTTCTATTTAAGAACTTAAGGTGTACTGAAACATGTTCTGGATTTCTTTTTGTTTCCGATCATGTTTCTGACTGCATTTCCAATAATTATTCTGAAAGAGAGTATGCTTCCAGATTAAGAATCTAACGTGTACACTAGGCCAGAGCCATAAAAGGGGGTCCGCAACTACCATTGCATGTTATATCATTGTACACGTTATTAACCATGTTTATTGAAATCAGGGACCAGTGCCTTCCACCTCTTCTTTGGAGGCCAGCAGTGGGATTCTCAAACATGTTTGTGCCTGTGAACACTTAGTTCATACCTTTTCCTTAGACTAGGGAGCTGCACATGTAGGCAAGTTTATATTAATCATGATGCAACGTCCTACAGCTGAGAGGTGTGCTGCTTCAAAGCTCAGGTCTCTGGGCAAGGGCTTGTGACTGTTGTAATTATACAATACACATGATGCAATTTCTGCATTTTTTCTTTCTCATTCTCAACTTGCTTCAAAATAGACAATCGATAATTTTTTTTTCTTTTCCACTGGGTAAGAAAATCTTTTGTAATTTGTCATTGGATTATGTGTGCTCTTTAACAAACCTTCAGTTATGTATATGTGTGCACATAAATGATCATATGTGCATATGATTATAAAACCATATAATTCATGTGTTTTATTACATTGAATATTTGCAAAATGTGTTATCTTTCTACTGCATTAATTTGGCAATATAAAATCAAGAAAATATAACTGTAGGGTATTTTATCATGGCTATCTTAAACATACTCCTAGGTAATAGCATTTCAATTTCCAGAATTAAAAAAAATAAATAAATTAAATGAATCCCTAAGTGTAATTGTCTAACGATTCACTTACTTTTTACTGAATTAACTAAAATTAATTAATTAGTAATTAACTCGTAGGTGTACTTGCAGGTTAGATTCTCTGGAAGAAAGCTCTGACCTGGAGTTTAGAGGGCAGATTGTTTACTGCAGTTCGCAGTTGGGATCAACGTCTGTGGGGCAGTGGAAGGAAGCAGGTTGAGCAGCGTGAGACATTGAGCTTCCGTGCAAATTTAATGCCTCGCAGTTGGCCCAATAGTAAAGCTCTGGAACTAAACCTGCCTTTCACTATGTCTACATTCAATGGAAGTGGCTCCACCTTCAGAACCTTGAAGCAATGAGTCACTGATGATATGCTGCTCCAGAAGGATGCAACACAGGGCCAGGCGATAATGTGCAAGTAGGGCAGCTACTAATTCCATGCAGGGGGTCTGCACAGCACATCTAAGTGTATGCCAGAAGGGTCTTTAGACCAACAAACCTGTTGGACTGAAGAATAACAGTACTAAGATAACCATATACTATGTGCACTTGAGAACATCAGTGTGACTGGAGGTGAATTGGTAAAAAGGCAGTGTGATGTTGTGGTTTGGGAATGTATTGGGGTTGTATCCTGATTATTTACTAGCTCTGTAACTTTGGGCAATTTATCCTCTGGGACTCAGTTTCTCTATTTTTTGATTATTATATACAGTAAAAATGATTTTTCCTAAAATATAAGACACTTAACATCTTCCCTCTCTAATCTATAATCCAGAGTGACTATGCAAGCAATTAATGTAATAGAATTTTGAAAGCACATAAAAAGTAGAATTAACTATTTTATTCATCATTAACTTTCCATGGTGTGCTACTATATAACAAGAGTGCTTCACATCACAACTAAATCTGAAAAAGTTTATTAATTGATCTGGTCTCTCCACAAATATATTATCTACACCAGTGGTCCTTGGGCTTTTTTGTACATTAACATCATCTGAATAGTTTGCTAATGCCTGTGTTGAGTCACCGGGTTTGGCGTGGGGACCACTGTCTCGTTTCAAAGTTTAGGACCCATTGGCTTGAATCTGTATTCTTTTAAGTCTTTTTGCCTTCATGTCCATGTCCAACATGATTGCTTCTTCATTCCCCTGTCTTCCGCTCTTTCCCTTCTCTTTAAATTTTGGCTCAATTGATTTTCCAACTCGGTATCTCAATTTAAGAACATAGCTTAGTCACTCTATAAGGATCGCCCCTTCCTGTTCCTTTGTCCATTTCATAAACTAAATTTAAAAAAAAAAAACAAAACATACCCATTTTATCCATTAAAGGAAATGTGAATCTTGACCGGCGGCTTTACTAAGTACATTTTGTTTTGCTTATGTCTGTCATAGATAACACAGCCAGCATTCTGACAAGGCGGAGGAGATTTAGTCGAACTATTCAGGATGTGTATTATCTCCCCATTATGATCTCTGATGGTGGAATCCCCTCTCTCAGCAGCAGCAGTACCCTCACCGTCAGGGTTTGTGCATGCGAGAGAGATGGGCGCGTGCGGACCTGCCATGCGGAAGCGTTCCTGTCCTCGGCTGGCTTGAGTACAGGCGCCTTAATCGCTATTCTGCTGTGTGTTGTCATTCTCCTAGGTAAGGTCACCCAACTCCTAATGTTGTGTGATGGCGATTCCGAATGTACCGTATGGTGGCCAGCAGTGCATTAGAAAGGAGAGACAAAGAAAATCACTTGGACGGGACTTAAAAATTAGGAACCCAAAATTTGGACCACAAAGCATAGCTGCACAGACTTCCTTTTAATTAACTTTCTCAATACCCGAGCTGATGGAGAGAGACTTGGATTGAAATGTGAGTGAAAGAGTTGAAATGTCAGAAGGAAAGATAGGTTCAGAGAGAAATCTTTTTGGAAAGGATCTATTTGGGAAATAATTGATATTAAAAATTCTAAATACCACATTGAAGGAGCTTTTACACTGTATTTCAAAGAACATAAGTGACATGATTCTCAGATGAATCTCAACACCGTATAAAAGTAGATTTCTTGTGGAAACTTCTATTAGCCTAAAATATTACTTAATCATCAATGTTAGCTGAATTTTAAAGTACAAAGTCTGAATCATTTTGGCGTTAACTATATTACATTTTATTAAGTTTAATAGGATTTTTAGTTGAGATTTGCATTACATTTCATTTTAATAAAAAATAAGATACTTCCTCTAATTTTATATATATATATATATATATAAAATCATTTTCATAGTCTAAGTCTAATCACAGCCACACTTGAAGCTATTACTGTAACCTCTTTAGAATCGCTATTTCAACAAGACCACAAATCCGATTTTTATAACAAGAGAAGTAGACATAAAGAATCCTTCTGTTTTGTTCAGAGGGTAGATATTTATTTTCCCAGCATATCCACTCCCTTCTTCCTTTCTCTTAGCATCTTTATCTTTTGCTCATTTTTTCAGTACTGTGTACACGTGGGGCAAAATTTTTAAAAAAACAAAACTATATGGTTTGTGGAGACAGATGTTTTGTTTTGTTTTGCAAGGAGTGTTCCTTGTTTTGTTTTTGAGGTTAAAGATAAATCACCAGTATGGAAGGGGTAGAGAGCAAGGCAGAATGAGGCTGGGAAGTGGAATGGATGGTTAGGCAGCTGTGAGACAGTTTGGGGCTCCATTGAACATGGTAGATGGTGGCTTTTGTTCTCGGCGTGTCAAGAGACGTCTCAAGCAAGAGAATCCATTCATAACATTCGTGTTTGGAAACGATGAGTATAAAGGAAGCAGAGAACAAGTCTCATGATGGCGTGAGAGCATGTAGGCAAAGCAATTAGGACAACAGTGCGGCTGTCTTGTTCAGCCCCCTTTGGACTAGCATAGTTAGAGCGCAGGTGAAGAGTAGTAGATAATATCAAGGTGTTTTAGGTGAAATCAAAAGTGATCTTGGATAATATGATGCAGATCCCTGGATGAACATTTTTTTATCAAAATCTTAACAGAATGATTAATGGAAGTGCCTAAGATTCATTTCAAAACTGACACATGGAGAATTTCATGTCAGTGAGCTATTATCTAATGTTTATGACATAGTGTATTTTTTATTTCATTTTTTTAAATTTAAGTTTATTTATTTATTTTGAGAGAGAGAGAGTGCAAGAGGCAGAGAGAGAGAGAGAGAGAGAGAGAGAGAGAGAATATCCCAAGCAGGCTCCCCACCATCATTGTGGAACCCGATGTGCGGCTCAAACTCACATACAGTGAGAGCATGACCTGAGCCAAAATCAAGAGTCGGATGCTCAACCAACTGAGCCACTCAGGTGTAGTTTTCTTGAAACAAGTTTCCAAGGGCTAAAAATAAAAGAGCTGACAAAAAAGTGATCTTGGATAGATTAGATAGATGTTGTCTGAGTTAGAAGAGGTTCAAAGAAGACTTTTCATCTCTTGCTGAATGTGGTTGCTGATCCTCACTGAGCTGAGGATCAGAAGTGCATGTTGTTGAGGTCACTACAGCAGGAGACTATAAAGAGAGAGATAATAAACTAGGCGGAGCTGTGACGAGCTCACGTGTGGTCACAGTGTCAAGAAGGATGTGATAGCAGTACAGAGGGAAGGGACGTTCAGAGAAGAAGGAGGAATAAGTGCAAAGTATAATGTCATCAAGGCCAAAGGAAAAAATAACATATCAAAAGCATAGACCATCCAACAGTATCAAAAGCTGCTCAGATATTAAATAAATTTTGTAGCTAAGTCTACCAATCGCACTTAGCAACAGGGAGCATGGAGGTTCATTGCACCGCCGTGGAAGTGTTTCATTGTAGTATAGTCTTACACTAGATGCGTGGTAGAAAAGGAAAACAGGAAAACCAGGCTTTCTCAATTTTATTTACTTATATATTGATTGGTCACAACTGCTATTTGCTAAAGACATGTATGTATTGCTTTTTTTTTTTTTTTTTTTTTTTTTTTTTTTTTTTTTTGCATTTGATAATTGAAACAAAAACACACAAAGCCAAAATGGAAAATAAAATAAAATGAAATAAAATAAAATAAAACAAATACAAATATTGATTCCTCTACAGTTCCTAACCTAAACCACAAAGAATAGAACCCAGTAACTTTAGTATAATTTCCTCCAATTCTGAAAGACAGATCATTATCTATTATGATTATAGAGTCACATTATCTTTGCCTTTTGTTTTCACTTATTACCATAAAACCATCTTTGTATGCTAGGGTAAAGGCTTAAAAAGGTAATTGAAAATGTTAATATACAGGCAAATGTAAGGTATATTATGTAGAATAACACTTTATTTTTTCATGAAACAATACTTTCCTTTAATTGACTTTATGAAAATGTCGTTTCTCCTCTGGGGTAAATAAGAGAGCATTCTAAATTTTATGCTCTCCCTCAGGACTAATGGAACAAAGGCGTTATTTAATATGTTTACTCCTTCATTTTTTATTAAAATTCCAAAGTGTTTTTACAGTTGCATCCCAAGGTGGCAGAATAATTTCTTAAGTTTGGTGTAAGCAACTATTATTTATAATGTAATTTTAATGTTCATGATATTTTAAGGGTTTTTATTGTTATTCAGAAGATACCTAGTCAAGAGACTTAGAATGTAGTCAGTTTTAATTTTGAAATAATGTTGGCTAATGTACGAGCTTTGAATTTTCAAGGAAAATATCAGCTATACCAGAGGTAGTGAAACTTTATTTTAGAACGTTTTTTTTATAATTCTGAAATAATGTTAAAAACTAACAGCTATACAAATGATGAAATTAATATATTAATAGTGAAATATGTTTTAGTTATTAGCTGTGGATATTACTTGTATAAACACAGTCCTGGTTTTGCCACTAATTAACCATATGATCTCGGGTAATCTGTACAGACTCTTGTTTCCATATACAAATCTATAATAATAAAGCATCAATTAGAAAAGAACTTTAGAGTTCTATAAAATTTATGTTTTTGTATAGGATAAATATGATTCAGTATTTTGCAGTATGGTCAGACTCCACCTAAGTGTATATCAATTATCTGAAATTGGTGCTTGGAAACCAATGAAACTCTACTTGGAACGGTAGACGTGCAATTTTTCAGTTGGGTTATGTTCCGTCAAGATTACTGTTTAAGATCATTTTTAAACAGGATGCATGGGAGAGAATTTAGAGTGACCCTTTATGATGCACTCAGAATTTAGTTCTACAGGAAGGGATACCTGGAGTTCTCTTTCCCTTCCAGGGATCTGACATTTCTTTCCCAACCTCATCCCATCACATGTGAGAGGGTCCAGAGCCAGAGCAGGTGGTAGAGCAAACCTCAATCACACTTGGGACACAACAAACCTTTCAATCAGGCTCTGAATCAGACCTCTGGCATCAACCTATAAGCCCACACATTACATAAAAGCAAGTGACTTAGATGAGTCCAGCAGCTGGACTATTCCTACTCTTGGATATAAATTTCCTGATAAATGAAGATCAGGGTAGATTTGATGTGAGGAGAGTGAGGGATTAGGAGAAAAATGTGGAGGTGATGAGGAGCTAAATGCCAACCAGTTTGTCACCTGTGATATCTTACTTAACTGTGTGGGCTCCTCTTGGTTTGAAAAAAATAAGTTTCCTTGACAAGTGTAGGGGCGCCTGGCCAGCTCAGTCAGTTGAGTTTCTGGCTCTTGATTTTGGCTCAGGTTATGATCTCACCATTCATGCGTTCGTGCCCCACATTGGGCTCTGCGCTGACATTGCGAACTCTACTTGGGATTCTCTCTCTCTCCTTCTCTCTCTTCCCCTCACATGCTCTCTATATCAAAATAAATAAATAAACTTTTAAAGAGAAAAAAAGAAGTGCCACTAACTGGTATGACCAATAGCCCAAGAGCTAATAAAAGTAATCTTCCTAACTTGGGCCACCTCCTTTCTACCAAACTTAGCACCAACATATGATCATATAAACAAGAATGAAGTGATATTTATGAGTAATAAAATCTGCTCTGAAAAATATTTTGGGGGAATATGTTGGGAGTCAGTATGGAATGTATTCAAATGCAAGCTGTGTGACAGTTCAACTTATGAAAATCAGACCCCTTTAGAACTCCAAGTGCTTTGGGATCGTATATAAATAAATGAATAAATGAATGAGTGAATGATGTGAGAAAGGAAATATAAAAATGTTTCCTCAAATTTTAATTCCTTCCTAAATAAAATAAATTAGTAAAATTCAATAATTCATTTTTATTTTCTTAAATAAAAATAATATGATGGATTTAAAATTCCTGGTCACGATCTCGCGGTCCATGAGTTCGAGCCCCGCGTTGGGCTCTGGGCTGACGGCTCAGAGCCTGGAGCCTGTTTCCGATTCTGTGTCTCCCTCTCTCTCTGCCCCTCCCCCGTTCATGCTCTGTCTCTCTCTGTCCCAAAAAGAAATAAACGTTGAAAAAAAAAATTTTTTAAATTCCTGATCAAACTGAAAGAGAATAAAATGAAATATACTAACCCAGAATAAAATAATCATTAGAATAATGTCCTTCCCAAGGCATCTGGGTGGCTCAGTTGGTTAAGAATCTGACTTCTGCTCAGGTCATGATCTCACAGTTCATGAGTTTGAGCCCAATATCAGGCTCTCTGCTCTCAGCACAAAGCTTTCTTTGGATCTTCTGTTCTCTTCTCTTTCTCTGCCCCAACCCCTGTTCCTGCTCTCTGTCTCTCTCAAAGTTCAAATTTAATTATTATCTATATTTTGAATCAAAATATATCACAAATATTTTTTAATTTGGGAAAATAAGCAAATATAACCAAGTATAATAATAAACCCAGCATGATCTCCTATATTTCATTAGGCTGATATGGCACTAATATTGGTGAAGAACGCAAATTACATCCACAATTTGCTAAGACTGCTGATCACATTCTCCCTGTTATACATGCACATAAATTCCCTTGAAATCAACAACCAACCATTTTAACATAAAGAAAAGTAACTTGATTTATTAACAATGGCAAGACATTTTACTATAATAAACTAGGCAGTCTGTAGAAATAGATGATTTAAGTTAGAACAACCCCCTTTACTTAATCATAAAGATGAACTGAACATATATATTAGATGATAAATCTACACCTCTGAATGGAATGAAGTAAGTTACTTGAAGATGGGGCCCTGAATTAGAAAGCTCTAAGTGGGATTTACACTAAAATAAATAGGAAGGTATTAGATGCATATTCGCTGAATTCAGCAAAAGTCTGTTTTTTTCCTTCCCCAGAAATAAAGTGCTATATTAGATAATATCTTTCAAGTGTAAGCAGCATATTTGGGAAACTATTTTTAAATAGCATGACATTTGTGAAACAGGGTCACATGTAGTATCAGCTTTTCATTTCCAGCTTTCTCTAAGCATTGCATTCCAAACACAGCGACTCACCGCTTCCCCGCGTCTGCTGTAATCTCCCCCCATTGTGTTCTGCCGTTACCTAGTCAGTATCCTTTTATTCCGGACTTCTCAACGTGATTTTCTGACCCTTTATATAGGTGTTCTGTCTTTTTTTTCCCTCATTCCTAGAGGCACCCCTTGCCTTTTCTCTGCAAAATTAGATTCTCCAGTACACTGTAACCATCTCTTTCCACATATAGTGAACTTCTCTCACACAATTATCCTTTGCACTTATGGCTTGAAAATCTGTTTCTTTTCCTCTTTCTATTGTCATCTTAAAAGCTCATGCACACTATAATATCTAGTTGAGAAAAAGACAAATCTCATTTATTGTATTATTTAGGGATATCCATAAAAAATGGGTGAAATTATAAAGAAAAACAAGGAAACAGTAATGATAAAGTAAGAGTAGAAGTAACTTTTTAGAAGTATAAGGGAAAGGTCAACTTCTGGGGTACTGGCTATGTTCTTTATCAGAGGATAGCTAACCTGGTGTTTGTTTGTTTTACAAGATACATATCATTAAGGCTGCCAGATAAAATACGGTATAGAATTGTGAATTTCAGGGTGCCTGGGTGGCTTAGTGAGTTAAGCATCAGACTGTTGATTTCGGCTCAGGTCATGATCTTGGTGACAGCATGGAGATTGCTTGGGATTCTCTTTTTCTCTGCCCCTTGCCTGCTTGTGCTCTCTCTCTCTCTCTCTCAAAATAAATAAACACTAAAAAATAAATGTGAATTTGAAATAAATATATATATGTCTGTAGGTGTATATTCGGTGTGTATGTGAATATGTAGCATAAGTATGTCACATGCTATACATAAAAATTTTGTTTCTATATATATATATATATTTATCTATGTATATACATATATGTACATTATGTACACACATATACGTGTCCTACATGCCATTTGAATGTACTTCTTTGAACCTAGTAACTGCTATCATAAAACCTAGAATACCAGCTGACTGAGAACATTCTGTAGAGCTGAAGTAAAGAATATTGGATCTAATAGCACAAAATAGAAGTGAAGTAATTCTATTTAGTAATGGCTTCCTATCATCAAATAGAAAGATGTGAAAATACTGAGAAACAGCCAAAGGAAAGTGCCCAAGACCCATTTACATCATTTCATCTAATGGTTGTGGCATTATTGATAATAATCCACATGCCCAACTGGTCACTCGGTTCCCCGTTCTGTATTTTTTTAAAAAAACAAAATGGGATATGGTAATGGAAACTCATCCCCTTTGGTGTGAGAAATCTCAGATTACAGTCTAGGTGCTTCCACCAGTCACTTGTGTGATCTTAGACTTGGATCTTAGTCATCCATGTAATTTCTCTTGAGCCTCAGTTTCCTTGAGGAAACCCACAGTTTGCCATGAGGATTAAATTACAAAGTTATATAAAAAAAAATGGGCAATGTGAAAAATTCCTATGAAATAAAAGTTAGGTACAAATAAACTAACATCTTGTACAGCTTGATAGATATATGCAGTTATGAATGTCTGATGATATTATTCTAAAGGGTAATAGACAAGAGAGATCAACCATGTAAAATATTCCTGCTTTGATTTCCTACAAAGCATCAAAAGTCAAGGGTTTAAGGTAGGGGTTCCCTCTTCCCATTTAACAGAAACTGAAAAATCTTTCCTTTAGTGTATATACCTAGAAGGATTAAGAATCCATAGATAGAACAACATACACCATTGTTCTTCCAGCCAAAATTCCATTTTGCTCTTTCCTCCTCTGTTTCCCTCAGTGTGAAGACCAGATGGTTAGCCCACAGTGAACTAAGAATCCTAAACACATAACAAATGTGAATGTTACGTTTTTCTAGAGAAGATCAGTGATTCTCAATGCTTTAAAGGGATATTTTTATTTTATTTTTTACATTCCTTGAGATGATAAAAAAACAAAACAAACAAACAAACAAACAAACACTTCAAATGTTTTCCAGAGAGTGCAGAGATCAGGGTTGTGTTACAATGCACGCCTAAACAAAATGTAGTTGGTGACATTGCTGATGTCAAGTCTACAAGAATTTCCTTCCTTTCTTCTAACTCTTCATCCTCTTTCCATTTTTCTTCAGCAATTGTAGTACTTTTTATCACCCTGAGACGCAGCAAAAAAGAGCCCCTGATCATTTCAGAGGAGGACGTGCGAGAGAATGTGGTCACCTATGATGACGAGGGGGGCGGGGAGGAAGACACCGAGGCCTTTGACATCACAGCCTTGAGGAATCCTTCTGCCGCCGAGGAGCTCAAGTATCGGAGAGATATTCGACCCGAAGTGAAACTCACCCCCAGACACCAGACATTGTCCACCCTAGAAAGTATAGATGTTCAGGAATTTATTAAGCAAAAACTGGCAGAAGCCGACCTAGACCCCAGCGTCCCCCCTTATGACTCTCTTCAGACTTATGCCTACGAAGGTCAGAGATCGGAGGCTGGCTCCATCAGCTCACTGGATTCAGCAACCACACAGTCAGACCAGGATTATCACTACCTTGGAGACTGGGGACCCGAATTTAAAAAGTTAGCCGAACTCTATGGAGAAATAGAATCTGAAAGAACAACTTAGGGGGTTAATTCTGGCAAACCTTCTAGAATTTGCTTCCTGAGCAAGTGGAGATATAACCTCAGCAATGGCAAGGAAGACACATGGAAACAGTACTTGGAACTGAGCAAGCTGGCCACAGCTACTGTAGAAACAAGTGCCCTTTTCATGATCGAAACGGGGTCATTTAATCAGAAGAGAGTCAAATTAAAAAAATATATATACAGAGAAAAAGCTATTGTTCCTTGTGTATATTTTCAATTGCTCAATAAAGTCTGTGGTACTGTTTAATTTAAGAATACCTGAATGAAGCCAAACAATGAAGTTTGTTTCAATATCTTGTGATTTCTTTTCAAAGGCAAAACTAAACCCAAAGGGTCCAAATCACTTAGGACTAGGGGTGGTATGCTGAGAAATGAAGCTTGTGCAGGTAATCGGGACCTCGTTTTCCACTTCTCTGTGTGGACTCTTGAGACCCACACTCTGTTACTGTGCAAGATCTTACTAGCATCGTGTTGTGTTCAAATGCCATGAGGTTTATCCAGTATACCGGGTCCCGCCACCATGGACTTGTATGCACCATTTTCCTTTGCCCTCCCCACTTCTTTTCTCCATACGAAATCGATGGAACATGGGGACTTGCTGCTTGCTCTCTAATGTATGCAATTTCTGTGCACCACTTGTGCACTGCTCTGAAGACAGAGACCACTGTCTCTGTCCTGCCTGCCCTCCTTTATTTTCACAAAAGAACCCCCGCCCTTGTTGTGTTTGTTTGTTTGTTTGTTTTTAATCAATAGAATGAATGGTTTCAGTAAGATATACTCAGATAATCTGATATGTCAGGGAAAGGTTTAATTTAAAAAAATAGTCACACACCTTATCCTACATAAAACATTGGAAAACTCGATTATTTTTTCCAGTCCTTTTGCTTTCGTACATTGAACTCCGCGGTTTGGATCATTCCGATACCTAAAATTAGCTGTTGGACATTTTGCTGGTTGGTTTAGACGTCGGTTTCATTTGCTTATTTGTATGCACCTCACATGGTAGCAATGTAATCTGAAAAGATGATACCCCAATTTGAGTAATTCTTACAGACTTTGGATCGGCTGACCTTTATTCCTTACACACGTTCAGATTCTCCCTGTCTCACTGACTGCTTAGCTCTTACCTGTTTGGGATCTACGGCAAAATGTATAAAACTGAAGGCAAAAATACAGCAGCTTCACAGTTACTATCCTTGGAAAAGTACCTCAAAGTCTCTGAGCTTCAGGGTCCCAAACTGCAAAGCAGAGATGGTAAAGACTTCCTGCCTCTCTCCCGGGCTTGTGTGGGGATCAATAAGCATCTGTAAAAATGCTTTGTGCACTGCAAAGCGTTCTATTGTGTAAAGGCTTGCAGGCGCTATCTGATTTTCTAATTCTATTAGCTTATAAATATATAGTTCCATACATTTGAATAAAATATTATATTATCGTGAGAGAATTTCATAAGACTTTCAACAGTGAAGCAACTGCTAGCTAAACATATAATACGCAAGTTTAATTATTTTGGTATTTTCCCAAATAAACTAATTTTCTTCAATTTTCTCGGTTTTTTTTCCCCTAAAATTGTTTAGATTATATTTTGCTGTTGTTGCTAAGCATAATGGTCCTATCCTCCAGACATGACCATATTTATATATTGCAGATAGATTGGAATTTTGAAACCCACAAATTACGAATTATCGCAAAGAGGAATCTGTCCTTTGCTCTTTGAAATTTATCAAAATCTAGCGTCCTCAAAGTTACATGGCATTTTCTGTCTGATTCTACCTATGTGCAAAATTTAAATTTTGCCTCTGTTTGCAACTGCCCTGTGCTATCATATTTCAGTTTTGAGGTGTGGGAAGTGAGTTTAACTTGAATAATTCTGTGTTCTAAGCCTGAGGAATAAAATTTAATTTAAGTTTTTTACAACATTTTAGCTTTCCAGATGCTGCTTTATCATTTTTTATATAGTAATGGTGTGATTTCTGGTATAAAACTGTATCAGAAGAAACACTCAGGGGCTTTGGGGAATAAGCTCTGGAGATACATACTCTGATGACACTGATATTGGACTACATTCACCATGAAAGTTAGGGTACCCCTTTGGAGAACTACTATGGATTCGGGTGTTAGGACTTTCCTATACGCAAAGAGAAGCTGGAAGGTCAGGTTTTGGAACTGCATTGCATTAGGCTTTGGATTTAGATCTTTGATAAAGTATTCACAACCTTTATTTTGCTTTGTTTTGTTTGATTTTGGTTTGTTTTCTCAATATTCACCTGGTAACTTTACAGATGGGGGTTTGAAAGATGGAAATGTATATGTACGTTTAACCACTTACATAAAAGCCAAGGTCCTCTGCATGGTTTTGGGTACTAAAATACTTTCCAGATTTTGTGGGGGGAAAAAAAGCAACTCAGTTCCATCTAATTTTATTTATTTGTTTGGTTCATTGTTTTTTAAGTTTTTTTTTTTTGTTTTGTTTTGTTTTTGTTTTTTTTTTTTTTAATTTATTTTGAGGTAGGGCATGGGCAGGGAAGGGGCAGAGAGGAAGGGAGGGAGAGACAGAATCCCAACCAGGCTCTGCACTGTGAGTGCAGAGCCCAGTGCAAGGCTTGAACTCACGAAACGTGAGATCATGACATGAACTGAAATCCAGAGTCAGATGCTTAAATGACTGAGCCACCCAGGCGCCCCAGATCCATATAATTTTAATTGCACATTATAATGATAATGGATTTCTTCTGAGCTCCTATGTAATATTAAATCTAATATGGAGGTAAAATAGAGCTTCTGTAGCCCTGAGATACTATGTTTCTCTGTTGATTTATTCTAGAATTTTGTTAGTGTAAGCATTCCAAGTGTATATTTTATATGAACTCTGAAATCAGGCAATTATATCATTATGAATTAGATCTCATTTTTTTCTGCTAGTTTGAGATAAGAAAAAAATGATATATAAATGCTCTGCAAATAGACTTAAATAATTTTAACAATATCTTGCTTTAAAAACTCCAGTTTGTCAGTGTCAGAAGAAAATTCTCAATGACGTTACTGTGCAAAGAGTTTGCATATAAACTCTGAGTATTTAGTAGCCACAGACAGTTAGCTATGAATCATATGTGACTCCATATAGAATCAGCTATGGAATCACTCATGTATCTTGAAAAACACATTTTGTAAGCCTTAGTTGCTATTTACACATCTAAATAAAATATAGCTTTGAAATCAATTTACTTATTTCTACTAAAATAATTTTCTACACAGACCCTATACAAAACGGTGGCTACTAATTAGAGAATTATATAAACAATTATAATAATTTTTATCCAAGGTGTTTTTTATGAGAATTTTTAAATTCCAGATAGTCTTTGTGCAAACACTGGAAAATTAATAGCTCTTTCAGGAATCACTAAAGATGTATCGTCAGAAATTCTTTCTATAAGAAATCTGTACAAACACAGATTTGAGGTGGAGATTGACAACAAAATTATCCTTAAAATAAGGCTCTATAAAAAATCAACTTATGACTTTTCTTTAACCTGGTTAAAAGAAGAAAAATATTCTGAGGGAAATTGCATTCACATAATCACACACACACACACACGCACACACACACACAATATGGCTTCTTGAAAAATATTTGGAGAGTAAAAGAATATTCAAAGTAGTGACTTGGATATTGATGTGATCCAAATATGTGATGTATATAGAAAATTTTAGTACTCAACATGTGAACAATTGGCCTTTATTTTGTGTCCAGTCTTGGGCTAACCTTTTAGTACTGTCAATGATTAGGGCTGATTCACAAGGGTGTTTACACAGAGCAGACAAAATTGTTCTAAATCAAAATTTTATAAGTGATGATTTAATGGACACAGTGCAGCCATTACACATTAGCAAATGCTCTGCGATATTTTGTATACCACCATGTAGTCAGAAATATGGGTTGAAAGGGGAAGGTATATTGAGTCCACCATTTTTAGCAGTGTAGAAAGCTTCAAAACAATTCCTCGGTGTTAAATTTGTTCTTACAGACCTGCGTAGGTTTGATTTGTTGTCTCCTTTTTGGTTTAGTTGAATATATAGAGAAAACAAACTGGAATTCAGATAGACTCATTCATTTCAACAGCTATCAAGAAGTGCCAGTTAAGTAATAGGTATAGTGGAACACACATGTATCCAATATTTTGGGGTAAGTAGTCTTTGCTTTTTAGTATGGACAGTGCTTGATTAGCTATTTAAGAAATTAGAACTCTAAAGCTGATTATTCTGGAAAGAGGAAAGAGTCCCATATTTCAAACTCAAATTGTACTTAGCTTCAAGGTATGATAACATTCAATTAACTCACTTGGCTTTCAATTTCAAGAACAGAACAAATCTCAGAATAGTTCTTGGGAGATATGCAACTCAAATTCAAACTTTCTCTCTCTCTCTCTCTCTCTCTCTCTCTCTCTCTCTCCCCCTCTCTCTTTTATCCCTTAGGATTAAAGGCAAATTAAATATTATCTGAAAGAAACAAAACTATTTCAACTTTTATTTTCCACCTCATCTGCAGAAGGTAAATCTTTTTGCAACGTAAATTTAGAAATCTTCTAAACCCTGGAGCCAAAAGTAGCTCACAACCATTTGAAGATAAAACCACCACAGAAGCCACTCTTTTCCAAAGATTCCAAATACATCATTTTTAAATGAAAATTCAGCGCTCTTTAACATGTGAAAAGATGTATTCTTAACTTTACGTATATCAGTGAAAGATGTAGTTTTGTTGTTGTTTTTTAAAAAAGGAAGAGATCAGAGGGAAACAGAACACATTCTTCTTTGAAGCATTAATACAGGGGGGAAAAAGTGCTCTTAGGCTAGTAAGGCATGATTACATTTATCTACTTACTGAGTCTACAAAAGGAAGGGTCTTTACCCTTCGACACTACAAAGACATCAAACCTATTTTAGTAATGATTCATTTTTAAAGTCTTAGGTGAGAGTGAATGGAGA